CCGCGCTATTTCTATGACGAATGAGATTATTCAGTTGGTGACATAAGTCATCATTCACCTAGTTAGCTATAAGGTTTGGGGGGGTGTAAGCAGCTATGACAGACACCCGTCACGCCCTTCGAGACTCCGAAGCCTAGAACGACTCAGCCAGCCGGACTGTGCATACCCGACTGCTGCGGTCGTACTCACAACAGTCTAGTAAATAGACATAGGGCCTGCAAAAACTATGGAGAGTAGTAGAAAAAGGGGCAGAGGGGCCGCATCATAGTCATCGTGGCACAGTAGTTGAAGGTGAGCAACACACTTCAGCTACTGCGCCGCAGGAAGAAAGGACCATTTTGATAACAAATAGAACAAAACGTTTTTAGTTTGTTTCTCACACGCCGATTTTTTATTCTTTGTCATTTTCAATGTTTGAAGTATTAAACATGCGAATTAATAAAATTCTGTACACAGCTCTTCCACTAGTTCCGGTAGTGGGCAATATCTTCAAGAGTGCTAAGCCATTGGCACTCCTCATCTTTGGGTCCCCATACTGGAAGACTTACGGGTCCAACGGTGGCTAGACACGATGTCAGCGATTTCATGTGCTGTCGCCAAATGGAAGCCTGACCACCACGCGGTCGCCTCTAGCCAGGTCCTTGACGAGCGAATAGAGCGCGACGCGGTACACGCTCAGGTGCAATGCGTAGGACGTGACCGAGCCATCTTAACTGGTGCAGCAAAACCAGTTTGTTGAAGGGAATACTCATATTCTCCAAGATGCGACGTCGAACACCCTCACTGTGAACTCGAGGCTGCCACCAAACACGAGCAATCCTCCTTAAGCAACCTTTGTCGAAGGCAGAAAGACGATGCATTTCTTCCACGCGAATTGGCCAGGACTCGCCTCCATAAAACAACAGTGAACGAACAGATGCGCAGTAAACACGGCCCTTTAGTGAGAACGAGACGTCGCGACGACACCATAAGTGCTGCAGCTTGATAAATGCTGATCGAGCTTAAGCGATGCGAAGAGAAACTTCTTTGCTGATTGTGCCGTCAGCAGAAACACAGCTCCCAAGGCAGACGAAACTACCTACGAAACTGTTCAAGTTGTGCACCTTCGAGAGTGAGCCCGGGAGCAGGTGAAAGCCAATCCTGGAACAGTACTTTACATTTCGATGGAGCGAGACTCATGACATACTTAGATGCTTCAACCGCCAAAGGATCCAGAATGAGTTGCATACTCTGGGGATCGTCACTAAGTAAGGCGATATCATCAGCATAATCTAAGTCGGTCGCGCACTCATCCGGTAGAAGCTCTAAGCCAAAATGCTGGAAACCTTCTAGAGCATTCGACAGAACGTCTTCGATCGCGAAGTTGAAGAGGAATAAGGACATAGGGAAGTCCTGTCGCACACCGCTACTGACAGCGAATTACGAAGAAAGCTTGCCGCAGACCCTCATTTTGCCGGATGTATGAAGGTAAAGTGCACGTAAGATGACGATATACTTCTCTGGCCCCCCGTTCTTTAGCAAGCAACACAATAGAGCAGGTTGATCAACGGAGTCAAATGCAGCACGTATGTCTAGGAATGCAACGATAGTGGGCCTGTGATAAATGTGGCGATGTTCGAGGAGCTGGTGGAGCGTGAAGATTTGATCCACGCATCCGCGGCCAGGACGGAAACCAGCTTGTTCTTCACGGTAGTATAATTCACATATTGGGGATAGTCTGAGAAGCAGAATGGATGCCAATAGCTTGGAGGCAACCGAAATAAAACTAATCCCGCGATGATTTTCACACGAAGTGCGAGCGCCTTTCTTGAAAATCGGGACAATAACTGATTCGCCCCAAGAGGAAGGCACTTTCTCTTCATATCAGATTTTTGTGAACAACGAAGTCAGCTGGTTAATGATTGACACGCCACCGTATCTGAACAGCTCCGGAGGAAGTCCGTCTGAGCCTGCAGCGTTGAACCGCTTCAAGCGTCGAATCGAAGCAGACTTTCGCTCCGCTGGGTGGATTCAGTGTGATGAGTCAGGGTAGACAACAAGGTGTACGGCATATACTGATGGACGGTGGAGGCCAGTTGAATTGCGAGTGAAAGTGCTCGGCCCAGCGGTCCAAACGTCTCTGTTGTTTGGTGATCGAAGACTCATCTGCTTCGCAAATAACCTCAGTGAAACAAGGATTCCTGGGGCCAGTGGACCGAATGAGTTGGGAAAAACCTGCGAGTGTTGCCAGAGAAGGCAGTGGCCTCTATCTCTAAAGCACACTCAGGCCACGATGCCTCGCGATCCTTGCGTAGGCTTTGCTTGAGCAGCCGGTTGGCAGAACAGCGCCGCTTGTTGCAATCTGGTTCCACCAGTATATATTTGCGGCGGTTAAACAGCTCCAGAGAGCAAGCAGAGATCCATGCTTTTAAGCGGCGTCGAACTAGGCCGCAGCTTGACTGTCCAGAAATGATCATCGCTTTCTGTACACAAGTCCATTGTTGCACTATGTCTAGCGGTGGATTGCAACTGAGTGCATATGTCAGTGAAGACTGATAGCACATCTAGACAGAGGAAACAGTTAATATGTTTACATCAAGCTTGCGGTGCTTCGTCTTTCGGGACCCCCAAAACGCATGCAGATTTTCGCGCAGACCAGTGCATGATCTGAGTCCATGAAGACAGACCAAAAGGACCTGTAGTCCAATACGCTGCACGCCATCTGAAACTGTTTGCAATGTGATCGATTTGAGACCACGCTTGTGCTGGCGAACGGGGACGCCACGTTGAGGAACGCTTCTTCGTACGCCTGAAGTTAGTGCTCGAGAGAAACATATGATTGCCTTCGCACAATGTGAGAAGCCATTCACAGTTATCAGAGCGGTTCTCATCGAGCGCGTGGTAACCACCAAGGTGACGTTCGAATGGTAACAGGCGGCCAAGCAGTGCATTGAAATCCCCAACAAGGACAACGACATCTGACTTTTTAGCATTAGTCAAGAGCTGATGTAGCTCCAGGTAGAAGTCGTCGAGCCACTGCTGCAGTCAGTTGGAGCATACGCAGAGATCACAAACGAGTTGCGTCTCGCCTCGCGACGCTTGTTGATTATACATGAAACCCGAAGCAGAACTGCACGCAGTCGGCTGTTAATCGGGAACCAGTCCAGTAGTGTCGTCTCGGCCTTGTCATTTAATGCTATACCTACACCAGCTAAATCCACTGAGGCTGCTTCTGGATCTCCAGAAAGACGCAGGTGATATCTGGCTTCGTGGTCAGTGGGGGATGTCAATGTAAGCGGTGTGCTGGAGTCTTGCAATCGGGTTTCTGAAAGGCAGCAGACGTCGATATCGAGGGACCCTAGGGTGCGCGTTAGACCAGCTTGCTGTTCAATCTGCCTAAGTGTCCGAACGTTGAAGCACGCCAGACGTAACGAGGATCGGGGTCGAAGGAGAGTTACAGGTCGAACTCCATGGTTCGCGGCGCAACCGGACTCTCAGCAAGATTTTTGAACACATGAATCGGGTAAAGGAAAGTAAGGATTATTAACGAACAAACAATTGGCGTGTGATGAAGTCGCGTGAATGTAAGAAGCAGAAACGGTAGCCGATGAGCACGTTGTAGAACAGTCAATGGTTTTGTGAGGGCGTGATACTACCCGGTGGCCCAAACCAAAATAGGGGGTTAAACTAGGTGACCCCACCTCGCGCCTTTGGTTAAGTAACCTCCCCGTAAGGCAACGGAGCGAATTTAGGGAATCGCGCCCACTGGAAGTCGCCGAGTGAATGTTCAGTCCATACTTCTTCTGTTTGGTAGATCATTAAACAGGGGCCCAATACTCCCCATGAAATCAGCACAATTGCTGGACTAAAGTGCCCCACCGAGGTGGAACACTATCGCGGGAACCGGGTACACCCGAACCACCCAACCGGCACCACGAGGTAGTTCGGCATGCTAGCCATCCGACTGCTGACTGCGATCCCATCTAGTGAGGCAGTTTCAGCTGGAGGAGCTCAATGAAATGCCCGCACTACGTCAATCGGCACTGAAACCTATATCATCTCCGGATAGAAGCAATAAGAAGGTACCGCCGGTATCAAATAAAGAGGATAACAGGTTGCCTTCTGATAATCAGGAAAAATCAATCGAGAGGATCACTGACGTTCGGATAAGTGCTGCTTGTTTATGATGAGACATGAGTCTTAGCGAGGATCGAGAGTTCCAAATAAAAGCGGGTGAAATGAGGTTGGCCGCACGGTTGGACACGGACTTATCGACAGGGAAGAAGTAAAGCTTTGTAAGTGTATGTGAGTTTAAACTAGAAGACAAGCATCTATCAAAGCAAGATTGAGGTGCGGCCAAGAAGTGACGATTTAATACAGGGGGAAATAGAGTTGGAAACGGCAATAACCGGGAGTAAGTAGGCTGGAAGGTACGAGCAGTAGCATCCATCCCAATCTACCCCACTCAATGAATCAAATAGGGTGCCGTTGATTAGCCTCTGCGACCGCCAGAGCGTCCAGAAATTGTGTAAAGAAAGGTTCATTGCATTGTGTGGGCAGGACATTGTCATGGTGCTTAAACCTAGCAAAGAAGGGCTCACAACCGAAACATTTAGTTCAAAAACTTGAACGCAAAACAGCGGGAGTTTGGCAGTGGGCTACAAGGAGTTGCCTTTGCTCCAACCCCTAACATGGAGGACAAGAAGACTAAGTTTGTCAGGCCTCTAACTATGGACCAATCATGTATGAGTGGCGTGCAAGAAGCACCAACTGGAACAGTTCAGTGGAACACTGAGACACGCAGACCATCGCACCGTGGTAAAATTCTCTCAACGCGACGGCTGAAAATGGTTGCGAATGAGATGAGCAATTCAACTAGCCATAAAGATATCGCCTGAAGCTCTTGTGTCAAGAGTGAAACGTTGCAGTAATACAAGCCCACAAAACCAATTTGTGTTTTAAAACCTTTGGAAATTATGAACGATCAGTCGGTCCCAAGTTTTATTCTAAGCAATTGAATGCGCCTGATTGGTAAGTTCAATTGTAGCATCTGAAGCTAGTGAGCTGTGCATGATGACCAAAACCAGTTCCATTCAACAAGTTGTGAATTCGACTTACAATCAGAGGGAAAGTGAAAAGAACACGTAGGGATAGTAATGACGCAAGTAGTTTTATACTGACCGACTTTCGAAAGAGCATTGTACGGTTTCCGTCAGCGTCAAAGAGTTCCACAGTGAGGAGGCTCATTCCTGCGCAAGGCACAAAGGAGGAAGCATGGAAAATACCAGAGAGAGGACATAAAGTGTCAGTTCAAGAGCGGGAATAATGCTGTATGAAGATTATAAATCGAGTAGTTTACATTTGGTAAAGGTGATTGAGTCCGACGGTCCACCAATCGGTGGCTCGATGGAACCTATACTTTAGGCAGACGAATGTTGATGGCTACTTTGAACAACAAAGGTACAGAGATATGGCAGTAGTGATGAACACTACTTGGCACAGAGAACAAAAGGAAGAGGTTTCTTCAGGTAAGCGCGCACATGTCAGAATTATCGTACAGGGAGGTAGGAATAAAAACGAATTTCTTCGTCACCCGTTTCTAGGACAGCCCGTGTTACAAACAGGAGCAGTTAACTGAATCGAAGCTGGTTGACAAATCAAAAAAGCGGAAGATTGTTTGAATGCATTTCGTTGTTCAATAACTCGGTCAAGTGTGAAAATGCGATAAACGCGAAAACTATCGGTGAGAAAGTTAGCATGATTCTGGCTGATTCGATTGTCCAAAAGACAAGTGAGCCGCTGCACAATGGTACTTGAGGGTATTATTCAGCCTAAGGAAACGAGGATGATGTCACTTTAACAGGCATGCTCAACCGTTATACAGCCGTCGCCCCCATGTAAACATTTCAATTTCATGTGACCCCCCCCCACCCTTGATAACCAAACTTTCAAGAACCCGCAACGTCTAGCATACGCAAATCGGTGATTTCCAATGATCATATTGGTAGCTTTTGTTTTGGTGGCTAAATTTTTAATGCTGGTATCACCGCTCATCCCTTATAAACCTCATTTTTTCAACTTTTACAGCCTAAAAGATAACATTTATTAAGCGGCAAGATCAAGTCACTCATATATACTTCGATATATCAGTAATATTTTAAATTGTGTTTAATTATTGTCAGATATTAACCCCAAAACGTCGTCTATTAAAAGGTGTAGTAACTTCGTAGTAATGTTTATCGAGATAGTAATGCGAGCATTGAGTCTGATATCCTTGAGCAAGGTTGCTTAGGTACGGCTCCAGACTTGACAGCGAGAGTTGAAGATCTCTTGTTGTGATGTCCCATCTGTTTCTATTTTTAGAGAAAAACACTGTCTAATCCACATCTAACCAAGTGTATGGATGGAAAAGCAAGGAAACATATTCAGCTACTTCCCCAATCTGGGATATTCGTTAGGGACAGCCATCTTTAGCTAAAAACCCCATTTATATTGCGCGAATTTGGATCATGCTCATGTGTCACTTTAAGCTCTATGAGATGTACCAGGATCGCAGGACAGTATGTCAAATGGATCTGAAATCCAAATCGGGATTTTCATGTAAACCAGGCCGTGAAACCTGTCATCCATTTCTTCTCGGAGTTGTAAATGACTGGCATAAACAGTCAAGTCTTTATTCTTCAACTCCTGCATGACTGTAGCGAGAATTGGGAACTGTGAAACTTCTCGACGTCCGATGTTTTTTTTTAAAAAGCGAGACTGGCTTCTTTGCTCGAGATGAGATTTCTCAACTTGCTTTGAAGAGTATTATTTAATAAGTTGAGTTTTTCAAAGACATCGGCCAGATAAAATACGTCTACTCTAGCTGTTAACAGTTTTCTTTCATAATCAGTTCCAGAAAGAAGTGTGATGAACGTGTCTCAGAGTGCAACAAAACGGTAAAGACAGTTGCACTTGGAGAGCCATCTAACTTCTGGGTGCAACCGTGGAACCTGGAAATTTGCACTGTTCTCATCCCACAACTGATGGAAAAGACAATTTGATATTGTTGAATACTATTAAAACATTTGAGGGTGAATTGTTTAAGCGCTCTCCCTAGTTCTTAGCCACTAACTGCTCTCGATGAATCACACAGTGAATAGAAGAAAACACCTTTTCAGACAGATAATAAATTTTTTATATCTTGCGACCATTGTGGCAGCACCATCTGCTGCACATGCAACTATGTCCTGTAGTGGAATGGAGATTTCAGTCAAATAACTAAAGACTACCTTAAACACAAACTGGCCCTATGTATGAGTTTTAATTCTATTGAAGAATCGGACATGTGTAGTGACCTGGAGATTCCCCCGTACGACTGTGTAAACTATTCTAAAATATATTAAAATTATAGCTTTCTTATGTATTAGGGAATTAGGCTGTTTGCGTGTTGGAACGTTGTTCCCCTTTGTTTGAAAACACGAACACGATCTCCGCCTTTGGCGCGCGACTCGACTGCGAACGACACTCCGTCTACGCACTCGACACCCAACCACATCCTCCTTAGCTAGCTCTCTTCTGGTGCCCTATTTTTAGCATTAGTTAACTCTCCTCCCGTCCAATAAACATTTTCCCTAGCCTACTTTTGTGTGTTCTACCCATTGCCTTTGGTTGGCCATCTAGTCTCGTGCCGAATATATAGCGCACGAACATCGCGCTATACATGTGCTACGAGAAGAACATCGGTGCCAGATAAAGTAGATACATCTAATTGTAACGAAAATTTCTTGGACTGTAGTAATGTACTTTCTATGTCCTGAATCATTGTAACTATTTAGATAGATACAGCCGATTTCTGAGCGGAATGATTTGAACTACTTCCTGTGGATCCATATTCATTAGATCAGACAGCATTATTGATACCGAAGGCAAGGTATTTTCTCTAACAGTATGCGGATTGCAATTTGGGAAATCAGCCTGCTGATTTTATAAGACGCCGTAAGTCCATGTGTCATATATTTACCCTGTCAAAAAGCACCGTCTTTAAAGTTAGTCTGTTTTCAAAATTATCCCCCAGATTTTTGCAAAAAACCAGGCTTTCCGCTTTCGTTCTTATGAACATTTTCCTAATGATCCGTTTACTTAGTCGAAGAGTTTCATTTGAAAGTATTTTGACAAATTAAACACATAGGCAGAGTGGGCTTTTGAAATGATGCGATAAATGCAAATGTGAGGGTACCACGAATTACTGCTGAAAGTTGCTCTTTGCTGAGAAGCTCATTTCTGAAAGATGCCATCGTAAATTGTTTATATATATATATATATATATATATATATATATAAGCCGCTTTTGTTTCATTTTTACACTGTCATATCATGAGTAGTAAATAACGTCATTCAACAAGGCGAAACACGTAGATAATATGAATGATTGGTGGTACCAATTTTATTCTTGCTTGACCGTGAGATATTAAGGTAACAGATTTGGTAAGCATACTTGTAAAGTCTGTTGGTGACTATAATGTTAAAATGTAAAAGTGTAGAAACACTGTTAGTGGCAACCCAAAGGTTGTTTCTGGGGATGACTGAAAATACTGTGAATTGCTGAAATAAGTGAAGAAAACTTGACGAAAGTTAATGAAGAAAACAAATGGAACTAAGAAAATGGCAATGTTCACTAGACATATATTACAGGAAAGTTGTAGCTAATAGTGACATAAGTTAAGTGAAGGTTAAAAGAAATGCGGAAGAAAACACCGGATGGTTAAAGAAACGGGTACGGGAGAGTCAACAACGAAACTAATAACGTACATCGCCTATTGCCAAACATGGCGCCAAATGCGTGTTGGCAAGACATTTGATTATCATGAGAATTAGAAGTATCCTTATGTACACAGTATGATATACACTCACCAAAGAAACCGGATGTCCACACGTATGATGTAAGTTAACAAGACTGCACGCTAATTTGAAAAATTCAGCTGAACCGAATGTTAAGAAAGCGTTGTAACACGTCATATCTGTTTCGAACGAACGTTCTTCAGAGTTAGTACCGCACGCGCGCAGAATATCCATTCGAAATCAGAAGGTAGCGAGCTAGTGTGACCTAGCCGTCAGATGTACACGCGAGTTGAAACTGAGACGAAACACGTGTAACCTAGCCCTACTGCACTGAGACCCAACGAGAAAGAAAGACTGGCTAGCACATGAGTTGTCAACCCGTGATCGTGCGTTGAGGAGACTAGTTAGTGTCAGTGTGGCTTTGTGCGGTAACTGCCGCAGTGTTCTGACAAGAGTTGGACAGGTTCACTGTAGCTTGCACAGTAGATGCGTCAGTGTTCTGAGTAAAGCTCAGTTGGTTCACTGCGAATAGGCATCAAAATCCTGAGGTCAATTCGGTGGATAGTTCCCAGCAGTCTAAGTCGCCGTATGGTGAGTGTATAGTTGATGTGAGCCAGACGAAATCTGTACAAGTTTGGCGGGGCTATGTCAGCGTTGAAACGGAGTTTGCCCGATCTGGCCTGCACAACTTCGTAAACAGTCACGTGCGGGGGCGTAATTCATTTCCCTGACCGGTAGTTACCATATGAGATTAGTGCGCGGAGAGAAACAACCAGAAAATTTCTTTTACTTATGTTATCACAACCCATGACCCCCTTAAAATTTTCTCACCTCAATGCCCCCAGGGGGGCCATATGGTTCTCGTTGAGAATGGCTGCTCTATACTCCGTATATTAGGTTGCGTATGACACCAACAGTGCGTTTGGTGATGAAATCCCTAAGAAATGTACTGCATAATAGTAATTTCAAAAAATTTGACAAGGTTGCAAGAGGTTTGAAGATGAAAAGCGGTGGACGTCCATTAAAAGAGAACAACGGTCAATTAAGGGTCTTAGCTAAAGCGGACCCGCACGAAATAATCCGCCATCTTGCTGCTGACTTAGCAGTATCGCGTGTGACAGTTTTAAAACATTCACGGGAGATTGGAATGCAGAAAAAGCTCGATAAGTGGGTGTCGAAAGAATTGAATGAAAATCAAAGAAATTGCCGTTTTGATGTGTCGTCTGCTTTTCTTTTGCGTAATAAAAACGACCCCTTTATTGAACGGATGGTGACTTGAAATGAAAGGTGGATCCATTACGACAATCAACGACGGACAACCCAATGGTTGGAACACGATCAAGCTCCAAGCTCCCCAAATCCGAAATTTCACCCAAAAAGATAATGGTGACTGTCTGGTGGTTTGCGCCCAGTCTGGACCATCACAGCT